ACGGGAGGTGAGCCTGCCACCAGGACACTGTCCCTGCCGTGAGCTACCTGATCCAAAGGACCTGCAAGAGGCTGGAGGATGCTCGGAGCAGTGTGATGGTGACTGCTGCCCACGAGGAAGCCACGGCCCAGGGCTTCCAGGCTCTGCTTCCACACCAGCGTGTGCTTCCCCTGAGCCAGAAAAAGTCTCTCTGACACCTGTAGATCATCAGGTCTCCCATCCACACGCCCTCACCGTAACGGCAGCATGGTCTGACTCGATCATCGCGTGATGCTCTTGTTTTATCGCTGTGCTGAAGACAAAACTCTCACGCACTTGCAGGGCTCAGACGTCGCGCGCTTCACCTCTCCCATCCTGCGTACTGGCAGGATCTTATTCCTTCCTTCATCTCAGGTCCTCCATTAGAAGTTTATTCCTGGCATCGGTTCAGTTTCTTTGACTCTTGTTATTGAAATAACCAGCAGAGAAAAAGACACTGAAGCAGTGAGGTGCTTGGGACTGAGAAGTGTGTCTGTGTCTCCCTTCTGGAAGGGAGAAGGAAAAAACCCCAAGAGCCCCACGAAGAGAAGACCTAGAAAGGAACTGAGACAAAAGCCTCCCTGCTTAAAAAACATGTCTACACTGTACATTTTTCCTGAGATAATTTTTTCAGCCAACAGAGCAGAGCTATTGGGGAGTGCAAACAGCAGAGCATCAGTCTTGCAGCAGATCCCGTCACTCTGAGCATTCACATCCCAAAAGGCAGGAATCCCAGTGGCTCCTGCAGCATCTTGGATGCCGCGTACCTTGGGAAATGGTGCAATATGAAAAGAGATCAAGTATGAGGGGCTGTGGGTCCTCCAGCTTATCCTCCCACACCCACCTCTTGCCTACTTTTCCCGCTACACTGTGCAGTCCCTTGGAATACTCAGGAACTCATGTGGTTTCTTCTTCTATTGTTGATGTGGATGCTGAGGACCTCTCTTGGGGTGGTTCTTCTGTACGACCATCCTCAAAATAACATCCAGTGCCTACACAAAGAGGGCTGAGAGCACCTGGATGAGAGCTGCACCTGCAACCACCAACCACCTGAGCTGCCTG